CTCCTGAATGACGTTATCAAATCCCATTCATGGGATTCCAAAAAGGCATTGGGTCTCTGCAGCACAAGGACAAAAGCAAAGAGTGCAGAAGGAAAGGGGGAGGATTTCACTGGGTCCTGCTTGGTCTTTCTTGCACTGCAGCATCGCCAGCAGTGACTCCCACTTGTGCACAATACGGAGGAGATGGCACCAACCGCCCCAGCAATCAGGAGAGCCTGTTCACTGTTTCTTCTCCTAACCAAAGAATTCTTTATAAAAAAAGAAGCAAGAAGTTTTCTCACCACAGGATACCTAAAAAAGGCATCTTCAACATTGTGGTAACAACATTTTTCACACTGACTACTTAAATGGCAGTAAACAGGCCAGCTGTCCCCTGCGCCCTTATCCTAAGGGAGTAATAAACTGTTAAGAGAAGAGTAGCTGCTAGCTGGAGCCATCCTCCAACCTCCCCCAAGTGCCTTTTCATTGGATGCTAAAACCAAAGCACAGGTAAGACATACATAAGCTTCCTACATCAGTTAGAGCCAACCAAACCTACACAAGCAAGTAGTACTAGGGCCCCTCAACCATGTTAGCAAGCTTAAGAACATGCTGCCCATGTATTTGGACTCCCTTTCCAGCCAAGCAGCATGAGCATGTGGAACACTCTCCATACTACTGAAGATATCTGAACCAACTGATACAAACTTCTTGGGCAGAAATGCAAAAACTGATCCATTCCTTATTCAGGTCTTACACTTTAAATATCTACTAAACTCTCTCTGATTTTTGGTAACTGTATTTCTACATATCTATCTTGAACAACTAGGAAATAAAGGGGAACCACAGGCAATGGAGCACTTCAAAATGAATCCCCTTTGTCTGTCAAGAAATTTCATTAAAAAAAAATCACTTCGCACAGAATAGAACAAGAGAGGTCTATTTCTTTTTAGCAGCCAGTAAACATTCTGATAACCTTTTCCTGCTGGGCATAATATCTGCGTGTACAACTTCCCTAGATCCTGAACTCTGGTTTGATCCTATTGACTTTCATGAAGTCAATGGGGCACTTACTAACTTCACTAGGAGCAGAGCTGCCAAAGCATGTTTTCAGAAGTAAAAATCCCAAAATCAATTTACTGCTAAATAGAAAAAAGTAAGTTAGTACAAAAATTATCAACCATTGAACTGTAAACAATCCTGCAGGAGATCTACATTATATCATCTCCCTCAAACCACTAAAGAGTTCTGACTTCCAAAGACAGTCCTTGGACTGATACCAAAATTGGCTTGTTGATTGTACTATTCATACATGAAAACAGAATTAGAACCAAAAGGATTTTATAGAAAGCAGAGTTAGAGAATACATTTTTCACATCCATTTAACACTGACTTGCCACAAGAGCATAATTGCAAACGAAAATTTAATTTACCTATAACTACATCATGGCCATCAACCAAGCCTGCAGAGAACAGCTCCTGAGAAACGCCATCTGCCGTGTCTGTCCAAAAGGTGGAATGAATAAGTATAAGAGCCCACAAAAACAACAAAAAACATCAATCACCCAATGCAATTTAACAAAAATATATTTTAGTTCCCAAACTCCCATGGAGACAGGCTTGAAAGCAAAATTATTTTTCATTAGCAAGAAGAAAAAAAAAAAAAAAAGAAGAGCACCACAATTTTCCAAGATAATTAAGGTAATTATTTTAACATCTTCTGCAGAAGAAAATGCATGAGGAGATAATTTGATTCACTACAAGCCCCACATTGCCCATTCCTGGACACTTGTGTTTCTCCTTCGTTGCCCAGTGAGCTACCCCACTCAGGACACAGCTTTGGAAGCTTCACAACCACAAAAATAAATTTTGTGAGGGTATTACTGTCACTCTCTTGCAAAACAGAGAGAAAAAGAGATAGATACTCTCTGGTTTCTCCATTGCACTATTTATCTAGAGAAAGAGCAGTGCTATAATCACACTGTAATCACAGCACTGCTCTGTCTCTAGATAATGGGTTTTCTTGCCTGTTATTATTGGGTCAGAGGAGTTGCACAAGCAGTAATTACTTTCCTTGTGCTTTAGTTTCAAAATACCTTTTGCATATTGTGACTCAGGAGACTCCGAGCTGTGGGATGGACATCAATCGCTGTGTCTGAGTAGGTTAATTCCAAACCCTGTGCCTGGCATTTGCTTCTGGCTAAAGAGCAGCTCCACTTGTGCAGAAACAGGCAGGGCAAGGACGGCGCGCCAGCCCTAGCTGCAGCTTCTGAAGAGCAGAAGCCCGAGCTTTGGGCTGGCTGTCCCTGTGATCGACTAACAGGAACACAAGACCTTGGCGTTTTCTATTCAGAATTCACTATTTTTGACCACATAAGAATTCTTGTATGGCTTATGTAACTGTTTACAGAGGATTTAAGTAATTCTTTCCAAAAGTGACTAAAGTAGGGGACTCTGTGGCCAGCTAAATTAAAGATTTTTAGTAGTTATTTCCCATTTGAAAAATCAATGAGACAAGGAGGTACACAACAGAGAATATATACATGCACAGAACCGCTGCATGTGATTTTATGACTTACAGGTTTTTTCCCCTTTGCCAAACTGGACTCATTTTTAGACAGAAGCTCTTTGGGTGTTACTCTAAACATAATAAATATTGACTACTGTGAAATGCACAATGTGGTTATGGTTCCAATCACTGCTATGATGCCTTTTACTAAACACATCCTTCTCATGCGCATTTTATCCAATCAGTAGCTGTTTGTTTTTTGATTTTGTTTGTCTTTTTTCAAATAAAGTTTTATGACTACTTAAAACTCAGCACTGGTAGACCAATACAGATCTACAACTCAGCAGCAGAGTCTTAAGGTTTTATTTCTGGTCAGTTCAGAATTTATTTCTGGTGATGACTTAGAAATACAACACATCTTCCACTCAGAAACAGCATTTGGAAAACAGTGCACTCTTCATACTTGTGAACATAATATTTTTTCTTACAGGGGCAAAGCAATTCCCCATCAGCACATACACCTTTATGGCTACTACATTCCATTTTCCGTGACATTTTCCAAATATCAAAATGTAGTTGTAAACGTCACTATTCAAGCTCTTATATACCATAGAAACATTGGAGCAAAACGTAGTCTTTATTGATAGACATAAAATCTTCTAATATATAGTGTACATTATGGCTACTTGCCACTAGAATTTCTATGCATCTACTATTTTTGTTTAAGCACAATATAAAGCTCTGCATAGTAGGAAAGAGTTTAGAATGGTAATTTATACTACCCACAAGCAGTAGCCAATTTCTGAAAAACCTTTTTGAGCAATATGAGAATAATTTCAAACAAAGCAGCCTTACCTCTGCCTGGAGTAAACTCAAACCGTATGTCATTAAGTTCTTTTCTGGAGTTCCTGAAAAACATTCAGGGTATACATTAAAATGTAATAAACTCATTCAGATGAGGTATATTCATCTTCATAGAGAAATTACTTTTAAATATATAAGGAATACTTTACAATTTAATGTTGCAATATTGCCCCAACTGGAAGACATGTACGTTAAGACATAAAAAAGAGTAAAAGCCAAAGGAATTTAAATTCTGCCCATATCAGAGCAGTCTGTTTTGTGAGAATTATAAAATTATGACTCCTCATCTAACTCTTCATCTGACTCCTCCCACCACGGTGGCACAATTTATTTTACAGATTATGCCTTTACTGTTAAAACTGTAGTCCTCACATATGTGAAAATTCCAAACACTAAGATTGTTCTGTGGAACCCAGGTCTCTTTTACAATGTTAAGTTTTCAGTATCATAGAATCATAGAACCGTTAAGGTTGGAAGGGACCTCTAGAGATCATTTAATCCAGCCCTGCTGCACACGCAGGGTCACCTAGAGCACATGGCACAGGACTGCGTCCAAGCGGGTTTTGAAGATCTCCAGAGAAGGAGACTCCACCCTCATTGTTAAGAAATTTTTCCTTAAGTTCCTATGGAACTTTTGATATATTCCACGAAGAAAATTTTTCTGGAATCTCAACTAGTAATGAATAAAAAGCAAACAGACAAAAGGAAGAAAAAAAAAAGCCAGCAAATCTCTGATGTATGGGTTGTTTGCTCTCTTAAAAATCAGATCACACTATCAGAAGATGTGGAAGATTAGTTCCTAGTTTTTTCTTCTTTATTTTTTAATATAATGTGAAATTACACAAAGTATCATGATTAGTACACAAGGGCACAAAGATAACGAAAACAATCTGTTGAAAATACAGTAAAGAGAAAAGCATGGCTGTTTCAGCAGGGTGGTACCTTGCTGTCCAAAGAGCACAGTCCATCATACAGTAAGTTTACAGTCCAAGGATACTTGTTTGCTTCTTAAGTGCAACATACACAGTGGGGTGGAGAATTAATCACAGATTATGTCTGGATAACTCAGTGAAGTTTAATATACACATGCTCATACATACATAGACCATACATTCCCTAAAGGTAGTAGGAGGAGAAGTCTGTTGCCCCTTAGAAGCCAGCCCCTGGGCGCCAGCCCGCAGAGCGGCCCCACGGCCGCGGGGAGCAGAGGGGCACCCTCCTCGCCAGCCTCCCGCCTGCTCCCGGGCCACGGCCGCAGCCGGCAGTGACTCGCACGCGCTTCGGAAGATGCTCCTTGAAAAGGGGCACTGAACGCTCAGCTTAAGCTCAGTCACAAAATGGGTAATTTTGAAGCAGGAAATGCTTCTGGCAAATCAGTAACTTGCATATGACAGCCAGACCACTACTGGTATCTCCACATGAGGTCAGGCAGGTCAGGCAACAATTGCTGTAAATCTCTTCCCTGACATTGTGTGGAAAGATCCCCAGTTATTTTGACACACATACACACAAGCAGAGCCTGTTTATATAAGGCAGACTAGCCAATTTTTTTGCACTTCTCACTTAAAGGATTAACGTGTAACTGACAGTCATTATGTTTAATAATAAAACCACATGCACTGCAGAGCATACTTGAAAGCTGGCCTAAGACAAAACAGAAGAAATAACAGTCTCATTTTCTTGTGATAATTATTCAGTTCCTACCTCCAGAGGATAAATACAGCACTGGCAATAACCACTTCTCTGCAGTATGAACTTTATTCCCAAGCAAGTAGACTAGAGCAACTCCACTGCACATACAGTACATGACACATACTCCATGCGCACATACTCCATGACAGTATTTTGGGGGAAATAGTGGAAACGCTTAAGCTTCAAAATACTTGGATAACTTACAGGATAAAACAAAAATCTTCTGATAAATATTTTTCTTTTCATCTCCAGAAGACACTCTGCCATATACTTAAAATATTTCCTTCCTGTTTACCACTGAAGAGTGCTCCAGCCAACTTAAGATATGGTACAAACGTAACACACTTAAACATCTTTAATTCTTTTACAATTCCTTTACAACGTCATACTGTGCTGCAGAACCTCCACTCCTTGCACCTTTCCAACTTCAGTTTTAGTTGATCGTGTCTACCATCAATAAAACAGCTTCTTTGCAAACTAGATGTCCATCTCGTTTGTGGAACGGGCAAGCAGACTGAGCCTAGGCACGAACCTAATTGCTGTAGCACACACTTTCCAGTGAATATCTCTGGCCACTTGAAAAACTAAGAGCAACTGAATGTGCTTTGCGGTCCATTAGTCGTCTTTTCCTCAGCAAGCTAGCTGTAAGCAAGCTCATATTAAAGTGTTACCAGGTCATGAAATCTTACTGTGGGAAAACTAAATCCAACAGCCAGGCACACTCAGATGTGACTCAAAACTATCATCACTTGCTAAAAACATGCAAAAAATACTGCACAATTGAAAACTCAACAACTCTTAGGAAAGCAGAATGACTTGCAAAACAGATAAAAGCAAGAGAGGAAACACTAAAATGAGCTATGCCATAAGTACAGTTTAAATTGAAAATTCCTCTTTTCCTGAATAAACAGAACGCTTTATATCTGAAAAGGTTTCAGGTTCCCCAAAGCCCACCCCAGAAAAACTACGGGAGTTAAAGATGATCAGTGCAAAAAGGCAGACAATGCAGCTAGCCAGGCCACATCTATCGAACTCACTAACTTCCGTTACAGAAATCAGCTGTCATTAACTGCAGCACTACACTAAGTCTAGTTTTATTCAACAGAGAATTGGTATGAACCACACTTCTCTTGATTTTTCTCCCTAAAAAGGCTTGGTTAGCTTTTTGACAAAAAGGAAAAAAAACCAAAAAAGCCACATATGACTCATCTCTGAGATTGCTTTAGATAAATCACTTCCTTTTGCTAAAATTTATTTTATGTAAGAAACTTATTAAAAATGCTGTTCTCTAAAATGGAAAAATTATTACTCTTCCCAAACAAGGTATGTTTTGACTGAATGTGGGAAGCAGATCCCATTTTCCACATACACTTTTGAAAGAAGCAGATCATGAGAATAAATTCTTTATCTCACACCTTTGCAGAGGTAAACCAACAAGTTTTGTCTTATTAACAGCTCTACACTAACTGCTCCAGCCTGCACACTTTTTTTTCTTTTCTGCATATATGGAAACAGAATCAAACACTAACAACAGTTAAGGAAAAATTCTGTATATTTATCACTCTTATAGCTATCTTAATTACAAACTAACATATTAAGCCCTTAGATGATGTCTTTTCACAGAGTTTCCATAAGTAGAACGGATACTGTATATGAAGGCACTAACTATGAAATCTGGCAAATATTACCACTTTCTAATAGACTGATACAGTTTTGTGGAAGACCAGCTGCTCCTGATACCGACTCAACTAGGATAAAAATGGGATGCGTTTTACTTGGTTTTCAAATTGCAATATTTCCCAAATAGAAAATTGAGTTAATTCTGATTATTAAAGTGAGGGTAAAATCTTAGAAAATGTTATAGGTATTCAGCTGTCGAGCCTTGCTATTTGAAATTGCTGCTGCTGCTGAACAATTTTGAACTTAGGATGCTGCTGTTTTCCCTTTAATTGTACATCACTATTCAGGAAAGCAAAACAAATGATGTTTGGCAAGATTAATTTGCTAGCTGGCTGCAAGTGCTTTTGCTTATGGTTCCATTACCTTAGAGACATTTATTGATTTCTATAAATTATTTATTCCATTACTTATTCCACCAAACAGAAGAGGCACTTGATTTCCCCCATGAAAGCTCCTTACACTCTTCTCCAGTCTTCACATACTTTTGTGGCTCTAGCTAGTACCAATGCTACTGCAAATTAGCTGGCCACACATCAGTTTGATACACTTGCCTGAAAATTGTTTGCACCCGTCAATCTATTTATAGGTAGATTTTCCAGGTATCTCTTTTTTTTTTTTTTTCTTCATTTAAGTTCTCTGTTTATTTGCATCCATTACCCTCTTATCATGCAGCAGCACACACAGACTATTTTAGCAAGACAGAAATAGGATTTGAAGAAAAGCACTTTAAAAGCTTAGTGATTAGTAATTTTATCTTCTTCATCATTTCTTAATGGTTCCTAGTTTCTCTAATGCATTTGTGAAAAAACAGTTATTTCTATTTAAAAATGCAAGCTCAGACCATTTTGCCAGCTCTTAAAATACCTTTTCTGTATTTGCTTTTGGCTCAAAGTCATTACAGACTCACATACCTTAATTGCCATGGATATAGATATCCCATCTACTTTCAAAGCAGTAAATTTTAAACAAGTCTGTGCATTTTAGCACATTCTGATTGATTCATTTCCTGGCGGTTTCTTTTCATCATGTAGACACCTCCAACAGGTCAAATACTACTATACTGCTTTAAACAAGAGTGACAGCTCAACACAAATCATAGTAAGACATTTTGGCAGACATCTACTTTGCAAAGTAATTGCAAAACTTTAAGCTTTACACTTTATGGAAACATTTTTTCTAAAACTTCATTATGATAGCGTTCTCATCAGCATCGCCTGATGTGCCCATTAAGATTGTGAAATTTCCTTTCGAATGTTCCAGGAAATTATGCTTCCTCGCAGGGAGGAGAAAAACAAACAACAAGACAAGTGTCAATTACATGAGTTAATCCTCCACTCCCAAACTGAGACCATCCTGCCCTTGGGTGATGACACCAAAGCTTGAAAAGACGCCCACCCCATGCTGAAGGAAATAAGCTGCAGAATATCACTAGGATTTCCAAAAACAAGGAGTAGAGAGTAAGCAGTTTGAGCAGCTGTATGATTCTGTTAAAAAGATCCTAAGACATGAACAGAGATCTAAGGCATCCACACTTAAAGAAAAACTTGCAGATAATTATCTAATGATAGTTTAATTCCCACTATAGTCAATTAGCTGTGCTCGGCACACTTGGTAAAAGATCTACATGGCTGAGCTGCCACTTAGGTGGTGAGAGTAAAGCAGAAAATCACGT